CTGCTCAACAGTGCGGAGCGGCGATGATCTTGATCTTCAAGGTACAGTCACCCACTGATTCGATGATTCGAACGTCAGTGGGCAACACCTATTTTCAACCATCCGTCCCTCCTTCGAGGTCTTCGCGGCCTGTGATAGAGACCCCCTGCACACAACCTTTCACCTCCGAAGCGTACGGACTTTGTGGTTCTTCCCGTGCGCCGTATCCGTCGCTGTCCCTGCTCCATGACTGCCGTCATTTCCTTCTCCGTGCCGCCTCCTTCCCCGCCCTCCGTCCTTATGCCCTCGAACAACCGTCATTAGGGTATGGGCGTATCGTTGTGCGAATATACTGTATACATCGGTTCATCCCGCATTCTCCTCACCGTGCCCACCACAATTTCTGGAGGCTTTCCTTCCTCGTGTTCCTTTCCCCACTGGCGCTCATTTACTCTTCGTGCACTTCTTCTGTCCATATCAAAATCCTACCCGCGCTTCTATTGTCCTCCTACATTCCTATCCCTCAACTCTCTGCCCGTCCAGTTGATCTCTATCTCTTCTCTCACTCCTGTTCGTTCTTCACCCCTTCTGCTTTCTCGTTCTTGCTGCTCTCCTCACTCTCCAACTCCCAGCGAATCAACTGGTGACTTTATATCATTGTGCGAATGCATTGTTCGTCCTGCATAGTTTTCTCCTCCCGTCGGCGAGCACTCCAGGCCCCCGTCTTTCGTTCCCATTCATTAGATTCGTGCTTCCTACCCCCTCCCTGCTCGCGGCATCACTTCACCATCTTACTTCTCCAAACTGTCCGTAGTTTCTCTCCACTCATTGTCCTTCCGGTTCCCCTCACCCCGCCGCCGGAAAATTGAGGTTGTTCACCGGCTAAAAAAGACCGTCTAGCAGATTGACGGTGTCTTCTTAGTTTCGCGCCGGAGAGTTATCTTCGCCTAGGCTGAGCTTTCAGGAGGAGCAAATTATTTGAAATAGAGGAACACTTAATGTGGATCGGAAGGACAGTACAAACAGATGTTGACAGCTACAACGTAAGTAACTGATTTTATTGCTGTGGACAGCTGACCTTCCATCATGCGGTTTTTTGGCGCGGTGCGGTTAAGGCAGTGCTGAAGCTGTGGAACGCGGGCTGCGTATAAGGGCGACCCTGTCCAGGGATCACCACCACCATCTAAGCGTCCTCCAACGATCGGACCTTGTCCTGCCGGTATCGAAAGCAGCCCATGCCTCGTCCTTCCCGCTCCCCGACTATTCCCCGCCGGCGGGGAGCGACTCCGATGAATCGTGCCTTTCAAATGGTCGCATCTGAATCGCCGTGCGAAATTTATGTCAATGGGCAGTCACGTACCGCTCGTCTGGAGGAAATGGTTGAAGCGTTGGAAAGAAGGCTCGCAGAACTTGAAGCATGTTCCGGAGAGAACCAAGACTTGCTTTCGTTTTCCGCTTCCATTGGCTCATCGTCCTCAGATCGGGAGTCTAGTCCCTCCCACGCCTCCCAATATCGTCATACTACTACGGCCAGAGATCTACCGATCGGGTATCGCAAACGATTGCTGCAGCATCTCCCATCCATACACACAGCCTTTGAAAGTACGGTGGTCATCACCTTTCGCCTTCGCTGATAGTGTAGGAGTGCTAATTGACAGCCAACTAGGGGGAGATGCATGTGCACTATATCACAGGCTACATTGCGAAGTTCAAGTTCCGACGACGACAACGCAGAAGAACAGATGGAAGCAGATTTTTGCTGCGTATGGAGGTGCATCCTTCATCATAATACATAATTCATTGTTCATGCAAACTGACTTCTTGGCCATTGGCAGTCGCGTGGAGAAAGCCAGGAGGGGAGATTCTCCACTCCGATGACACTGTGGAGAAGATTTGTGCTGACGGAATGGCGGGTATACAACGTATGCGCGCAGATTTACGTCGACTGGGGCCAAACTTTGATTCGCTTCGGTCTGCGGAGCGTACGTCTCGTGTCGTACTTTATATTCTGGTCTTCGCTTATGTATGCCCAATGAACAGCAGAAGTGAGAGACCTCAAGGCCTCTTGCAAGAACCTCGAATCTCTCTTATGGAAGGACCGTTCGGGATCAACTCCGATTCTACCGCATCGGGTAGAAGAGCTGCTGGAGAGCATAAAAATGTCTCCTGCACTGGATCTCGATCTGCTTGAGGGTGTGGAAGATTTCACGGAGGCATATCTGGCCATCTGCGCAATATCTCTGACTGGCCAGGATACCAAGGAAAAGATGCGGGAACTGCATCAATTGGTGACTCGGGAGCTCACAAAGGCCATCGAGAGACTGGAGACATTCAACTCCCTTTTCGCGAAGTATACTGAAGGCGGGAGACAAGATCTTGCTGCGGTCATGCAAAAGAATGTAAAAGCTGGTGAGCATCCAACGGATATGAGGTTCGCCGTGTTTTCATTGTTGGTATACAGCAAAAAAGGCCGGTTTTCGAGAAGGCGTCAGTTCCGCTGCAGAGAAACAACAAATTTACGATAAGCTCGAGAAGATCGACAACGGCCTAGCAAATATTCGCCAGCGGTTGAAGAATTCCAAGGAGTTTTGGGAGGGTGTTGATCGTGACCTTAAGTCTACGCAAAAATCCACCGAACCGCCCGGCAGGAGTAAAACTGAGGCCATGGTAGGGCATCATAATGTGATCGCTCGACCTTGATTAATATTTCGGCAGGCGCACAACATTCAGACAGGGCTTGAGACGGTCCACGATGCTGCCCAGCAGTACTCCGGCTCACCCCGGATCCTCAAACCCGGCACTCGGCTCGTCCGCCGTGCATTCAATCTAACCAAGGAATGCACCGCAATAGCAAGCACTCAATCCTCAGTTGAGGCTCATCTTCAACAGCCGACTTGCAACCCGAAGAGCGGACGTAAGGTAGTGTCCCCGCTAACGAAGGGCTTTGGTAGCATTGCGAAGAGCTATGAAAAGCTCTCGCAGGAGTTCACCAAGTGGGCGCACTGGATTTACCTCCTCTTCTGGTTTGCAGGATCAACTCCTGCGGACAAGTTACGAAGTTCGATCTTCCCCCACCAACTTTGATTGTGCTAAATTCGTTCGCAGTGGAGAGACCAGATCACATCTCTCACGCGGTTCTCCTATCGAAAGGACTCCCCTCTTATCTCCTTCCATTCGAGTCTTCTCTCACTGCGATTGAGCGCCATCTTCGCGGAATACAAAAGTTTTGGATGAACCTGGAATTGATGGACGATCGAATCCCCAGCCCCGCCTGGTAGATAGATAGATAGAACTGGCAATTTGGTGGCTCGGAGCTATAGTTCTCGGTACTTATACCCACTTCCTCGAATAAAATGTATTTACAAGATGAACATCAAACCGGAGGACTGCCGAGACGAACAATTGTTTACTACCGACCCATCTGCATTCGAACGCACACGAATGGTGAGCTCATTTGCTGAAGAAAGGCACTCCCTAAACACGTTGTTTTTCCACCTCCCACCAAAAAAAAAAAAAAAAAAAAAGTTTATGATCTGACTAGGGAGACTAACCGTTCCCTGCTTAGGCGCATTTCTTCAAGGCGAATCCGCCATGAACTCTGGAAGTGCCTGCTCACTGGATCCTCACGATGTGTACCTTCCTCTGCAGTCGGTCCGTGCGTTCCTATGCTATTCAGCAAAGTACCGGTCTTCCGCTGGAGTCCGAGCTGGTGAAAACAGATCGCTTGAACCACTGGTCTCGAAAGTTTGGGTGGCTGAGCTGCGAACCTCTCCATCTTCTCATCGAATATGTGATTGGGAGTGAGCTCAGCGAAAAAATAGGGCACATGCCAGGTTTACGACGTAGCCGTGATTCGAACCAGGTCTTTCCGCGGAGATTTTTGTTGCCAGCACCCAAATTTTGCCGGAGCGGTACCTTCCGCAACTAGGCCGCATCCCCACCCAACACCCAATTAACCCTCGTCTCGCGCGGTGATATTCTATGAGTTGTGGGCAACAGCTAAGAAAAAACGAACAAATCGCCCAGCTTCGAGCACTGTGGTCGAGAAGCATGTTCCGAGGAGGAAGAGAGAAATCAGAAATAAGGAATGATTGTGCAAGGGGATTTCAAGTTACAAATAGGCCGGGCATCTGGACAAGGAAACGAAGAAGAAAAAGAAAAAATACTCAGTCAACCTCCGTATGAGCTACCTAGCCTGGAGTCGAACCAGGGACTTCCGCATACGACAGATTCTGCCAAGCAACAGAGTGCGGACACGATACCTTTCGCCACCAGGTCTTATTCTTCCCAAAGTGAACCTCATGCCGTGTTATACATACATCAAAACGCGAGAGTCAGAAAACAAGTGCCACCCTGAGCCCAATTTTGGCGTGGAGGATGGCCTGAAGAGTAAATGGAAAAAGGAAAAGATGTTGGCATGGCTCTTCACAGGGACATAGCCTAGATTTGAACCAGGAACTTCCGCAGGGAAATTACATCCGAACCCCCACACACTCGATGCGAACGCGGCACCTCCCGCCACCAGGTCTTACTCTTCAAGCTGTGCTATGCATTAGAACCCGGGAGCCAACAGAGATATGCGGACTTCCCTGACCAGTTTATAAGCGTATGAAATGATAACGACAGGATAGCGAGGCGATGGCCCGTGCGGAACAGTGAATAGAAAAATAATGAACAGCTTACAGTACCCCTTTCAGGACCTAGCCTGGATTCGAACCAGGACCTCCCGAGCATATTATCTATGACTTCCCGCACGAAAGTTGGCGGGCACAGCACATTCCGTCACTTGGTCTCATTTCCAACGAACTTAGCCTCACCTTCTGTATATTTTTTGAGAGTTGATTTTGGCAGTATCGGAGCCGAAGGAAAATGACACGCCTCCGTCTGTCGCTGAGGTCTGCTAGACAATCAATCGTAGGAGAAAGCTTGGGAGGAAGAAAGTGCGGGATTAGGGACGCGAGATAGGGAACTTAGCGAGAGTAGTCGGACAAGAACAAAAAAAATCGCCAATCCAGGAACCATGAGCTAACCTGGAGTCGAACCAGGACTTCCGCTGAAAAACTATACCGACATTAAGACACACAACGCGCGGGCACGATACCAATTTGCCATTAGGTCATTACTACTGCTATCTTTGTGAGCGGCCTCAATCTACGTACATAGCATAGAGGCCAGCGCGGAATATCAATGTCCACGTATGTACCCTGCTAGGCTCCGCGTTGAAATGGACTTGCGGCGAGACGAGCCTACATAAGAGAGCAGAGTTGGCGCGGTGATTCCGCCTTGAAATGCAGTGTTTCGAAAATCAGGATTGGGAGACGAGCGCGGGGGAAAAGTTGCGCGGAGCAAAAAGCACCCAGATTTACCACAACCTAACCCGGGTTAACGTTGGAGCCGGTGACTCCCACCAAGGTGTACACAACATGCTAGATACAAAGTGTGGATGCGATACCAGCTTCACCATTAGGTCATAGTCTTGGAATTTTGCAAAGGAGGTTATCCACGCCGGCAAGGGAACTTAACTTTATTCAGAGCGAAGAAAGATGTGAGGAGGGAGAGAGGAGGTCGGATTCGATGTATGTAATTTCTCCACGGAAATCAGTCCTTCCTACTGGCGCTTGCTTACCATCTTCCGTATGCCTCTGCCTCATTCCCAGACTCATCCTTCCCCGAACACTCCCTCCATCTTCCCTCTTGAACTTCGGCCTGTCCACCTTCTTATCGAAGCTTGAGTTGGTGCAATTTTGTATCTTTCGAATAGATGAATCTATTTGTGCTTCGCTGCGGGCTAGCACCCGTTCGCCCCTGCAACAAATCCACGGCGACGTACGATCTGGAGAGAGAAAAAATTGTCCGCAGTTGCTCTGAATTAGCCATGATTCGAAGCAGCGCAACCCCCGACCAGTTGTGCTCCAGACTCAGGACTACAATGAATCTAATCTAAATCTAATTTGATACATGCGAAGCGGAACGAGTTAAAATAGGTACACAGGAAGCAGAACAAGCGAGCACGATAAATAAAAATAAGAATAAGTAGAAGCGGCGCGCGCCGTTCAATAAATGTCATGACTCCACTCGCCCAGGAACGGCTGCGGGTTGAAGCCGAACGAGGATTGGCGGGTATACGAGGCGGAGTGTTCGAGGGCGCACGACGCGGAGTCGTAGACGAAGAGCGGGAGAGGCTGCGTGTAGCTGTGCCCGGGTTCGGGCTCGGGGAAGAACAGAGAAGGGTCGTCGGCGAGGACGAAGGACGCGACGTTCTCAGCGGGCTGGTGGAGCGCAGGGTCCGGGAGCGGGATGGGCGCTACAATGCCCACTGCGGCGCACGCGTCCCTGAAGTCTGGGGACCACATCCAGGCCAGCTCAGCGTTCGACAGCGATTCGGAAGACGAGGGGGAAGACGCGTCGGGGTAAAAGTGCCCGTCGGGCACGAAAAGTTCGTCGGCCGATGGGTCCGGGGGGGAGGGGAGGGACTCAGTGGAGGACGAGGGGGACGGCGTAGTCCAGGCGTCCGGCGTGAGCTGGTCATCATGCGAGGGGCTCGAGGGGTAACCCAGGGAGAAAGGGAGGGACACCGTGGAGGACGAGGGTGACGGGGTGGTCCACGCGCTGCGCGCTGCGTCCAGATAATCAAGGAAAGCTGAGGGCGATGCAGGCTCGACGGCGTCGGGGGAGGTAGCAGGCGGGGTCAGGTTCTTAGCCTTCCGCGAGCGAGACGTACTCGTTACACCATCCGAGGCGGGGTGCAGTGCAAGCATGTGCCTGTAGAGGCACGATGGATCGGCGGCACAGTAGGCGCACTCGGCGCACATGTGCGGTTTCAGGCCAGTGCTGCGGCGGAAAATGAGTCTCCTGCGAGGAAGATGGAGGGAAGAGACGTACTGCCTTGCGGTGTAATGCGTGTTCATGTTCGACTGCTGCATCGTCTTGTGGGTGCACCCGGGCTCCGAGCAGTGGATCATCCTGCACGACATTTTCAGAAGGGACACCCACGGTCGACGGTGGCAACACACTGTTTCTCTCTCTCCTCGGGCGACATATGCTTCGCCGAATGGCGCTTAAGGCAGCCCTTGCGTGCGAAGCTCCACGGGCACCCAGGCTCCGAGCAACGTATGGGCAGCGGGGGGAAAGGCGGTGTCTTGCCACCCTGGAATAAAAGGCGTCAGCTGCAGAAAATGGAAAGGACGGTAACAGCTTACAGTGGGAAGGGTGTGAGATCGAGAGGCAGGAGTACGAGCGACACGAGGCATTGAGTACAGTCAGGAAGGGGAGAAAGTGGGAGGACAAGTGGTGGATGGGCGGGAAAGGGGGCGCTTCAAAGCGTGGGGGATCCCTGCTCATCTGGCTCCGCTTTATACCATTCCACAACCGAGAAAATCCTTGAGAGGACTGATGGATTGGTTCGCTTAAGAGGCTCGAAATCGCCATACAAGTCGAATGTTTGGGGAAGTTTGGAAAGCGCGGGCCCAGGCGTTTTTGAGCCACTCGAGCGGATTGGTGGGTCAAAAAACGCCTTTAAAGGAAGGTCTTCGAGGGCGTGACATTGTCGAGTGGCACTTTGCAACGCACGACAAAGACTTTGTCCCAGAATGGAAGTCGCTTGGACCGTTATTGTTCTGATGGCTCCGCAAGGTGGTTACCGACGATACGGAGTCGAAGGAGCGCCAAAGATTGCCAGAAAATCTTGGGGCTTTGAAGCTTGTGAGCAGACCTTGAGGGTCGCAGGCGGGCAAGAGCAGGCAAGCGCCGACAAATTGTTGGAACTCGAAAAGACGCCGATTGTTTGAAAGGGCTTCGAGATGGTACACATTCCTCGAGTTTGAAGAATCAATCACGGTGCAGCATCCGCGGGGCTTGAACGGTAGCTGGAGCCTGGCAGTGGATGTTCTAACAGTACCTGGTGAGCGTGAAGTGAGTTTTGACACGTGGATCGCATCATCGGGCTTTCGGTCCGGAACGGCGGAGTTTGAATTGGTCGCAACTGGGTTGGGGGTTATTCACTTAAAAGACCTTTCCTTTGCGAAGACTGTAGAAGCTGGGGGATCAGAATTACCTCACTATTTGCTGTAGATGTAAGATTCCTTCAAATCTCAAGTTCTCAACCTAGTTGCCGACTTCAGGGTCGGTGTAGAAATGTGCTAGATGATTGCTAGATGACGGCGCTCCTACGAATTATGATAAAGTTCCAGGCGACCTCCTCGAAAATTAGTTCACGATCCGACATAACCAGGCCTCCTGCAAGCCTCCTGGGCCAATTCAGTCAGCCGGCACATACAGTGTGCAGGCGCGATACCTCTCGCTGCCACATTTTATTGAAAAAACAACCTGTTTGGTTCCCTCCAAGGTTGACTTGGCAGGTTACTGACTAATTCACCCAAAGTAACTCAGCAGCGAACGAAAGGTTGTGGGTAATCAACTATTAGGCGCCTGAATTACATGGTATGCAGTTGGCGATGATGCAGAAATTGGGCAGCAGGTCTTCTTGACCGGGCAGCCTAGGGTGAAGTCATCATCTGAATTAAATTCAGAACAAGAACAATGAGTCTCAACGACTGGCATGCACGGCCGCAAGCGCTCCGACGTTGGCTCATATTCATGCTACACGGCGCGCGCCGTTGCTTCTTCCCCTGTGTCTCAGGCAACTCGCATTTTGCTCACGGGTGTTGAAATTTTTATGTCAAGGCGCGGATCATATATACCGGCACAGCCTCTGGACGCGGATCGCGCCGCGATGTCGGCACCGCCTTCTGTTCCCGCCATTCACCCTCACTCACCTCTCTCGATCCAGTCCCAGTGGGTCCCTATACACACTGCCTCCCGTCCGTTGCCTCTCGGAGAGAATTCGTCGCTAGAACACGTCTGCAACGATAATTAGCCCGACTTTTAACTGGCCGTCATTCATTCGCGTAATTGGAGGCGGCAGAGGACTTAACGATGTAGAACTTCGATGGGGCTTGGCAACCATGCCGTTACTCGGATGGTCCTCATCTCGAAGGAACTCGAAACTGAATTATAGTTCCTGGCGACAATTTTGCCCGCCCACCCCTCTTCTCACAGCCGCTGGTGACCCGCTGTAAGATTTGTCTCGGATTCGTGTAGCTGTGGGCAGATGATTCAATAAGAGTCCGTTGGGCGGGACGCTCCGCCTCTCATTTCCAAATTCTGATGGCTGATTGTCCTTCCCGCGGTTTGCGCCTTTCTTCGGAGATGGTATATAAACCGCTGGTTCCTGACGCGTACCTCAAACCCCCGGCTCCCATTCTCACCGCATTCACTCCTTCACAATCATGGGCGCAAAATACCTCTGTTGCCTCCCTCTCCGCCTCGGTGTCCTGGTCATCTCCTTCCTCCAATTCCTCGTCAGCGCGTTTACCGCGGTTATCTTGGGCGCGGCGCTTGTTCTCGATGCGCACGGTATATATTGCCGTCCTATGTGCTCTCCCTATTTACATCATTGTCGTTTTAGACAAGGACGGGTCCCCACGAATTCCGCTCGGGACGAAAATCATCACAATCATCACGATGGTAGGGCACATCTTCGTTGCCTTGATCTGCCTAGTCGGGTTCGCAAACCTCTACCCTATCAATCAGGTCATCATTTACTCACGACATTCGCCAGGTTTATTGGAGGCATCCGGAAGAAGGAGTCATACGTTGGAGCGTTCTCCATCCTCCTCAGATACTCCTTGATTGTGCACGTTACGACCGCGGTCGCCAACCTAATCCTCTATGTCGTCGACCGAAACGACTTCCGTGACAAATGTATCGGAGACTCGACGGACCAGAAGGTCATCGACGCGTGCGATAAGGCGACTAAGCTGCCCCTCTGGGCCGTCATCGTCTCCATGACCATTCCGATCCTCTTCCAAGCATGTCCGTCCTCCCCTTGTCCACTCCGCTATTTTTCCTGTACTGATGTGCATGCAGATGGCGTGTACATCGTCTCAGCCTACGAGAAGTCGTTGTACAAGGAGGAGGCGCTGCACAAGATGCACCTTCGCCGCGAGTCCTTCTCCCGCGGGCCGGTCTACGTGCCGGTGGGGGAAGAAGCGCGTCCGCTCACCAACGCCCCTCAGTTGGACTACCCTTACGCCGACAAATCTCACTCGTTCGGCGCA